ATGTGGTTGACTTCTGAGGTAGAAGGTATGAGACCCTTGATAGCCTTGAAAATCAAGTGACACAAGATCCCAAACGCCAAGGTTACAAGGAACAAAATAACAAGGAGTAACAAAATTGGTCTAAGAATAGATGTCCACTACCCCATGAATCCCCTGCCCTTAAACATTCTTTTCAGCATTCGCAGGATGACAACTTGCATGGGGTTCATCACAGGGTTGAGTGGGAGGTAGGTTTTCTCTAAAAGGGAAAACCAAACATTTTAAGAACATATTAAAGTTTCTGTCTCTGCCGGAAGGAATTCACGCTTAGGAACATTCTTCTTCCATTCGGCGGCATCTTCTCTTTGAAGCATCAGCTACTTACTTCCTGTCCCCTTTTGTCTGACCTGGATTCTTGGGGACAAACGGTTTCACCCACTTCTGGGGAATCCACTGAGGGCCTGAGGGAATAGCTACACACACATAGCTACGACCCCAGGTTATAAGTTCATAGGGACCCTTGGTTTCCCAAGTTACTGGATCCCTAATCAAGACAGGGGGATGCTGAGACAATCTGAACTGGTTGCCACTGTTAAACTGACGTACAACAGGTGGACTCATGTTTTCAAATGAAAAGTTCAGAAAATTGATGGTAAACATGGCTTTACAGAGCCTCTCTCATGGAGACATCCACGGAGCTGAACTGTTTTGTTTCTTCAATACCTGTTTGAGTGTCTGCTGTGCACGCTTGACTACAGCTTGACCTGTGGGGGAGTGGATGATGCCAGTCTTATGTTCCACTCCCCACTGTTGGAGAAATTCCAGAAACTCCTTGGATATATACGCTGGGCCATTATCTGTTTTGATCGTTTTTGGCACCTGCAATACTGAAAAAGCTTGCACTAGGTGTTGTTTGACATGTGCAGCCTTTTGTCCTGTATGAGCAGCGGCATATACTGCCCCTGAGAATGTGTCCACGCTTACATGAACGCATTCAAGGCAACCAAAACTCTGAATGTGTGTGATGTCTGTCTGCCATACCTCACAGCTGCTAAGGCCTCTGGGGTTTACCCCCATGCCCAACGAGGGCACGGCCTGGAGCTGGCAATTAGGACAGTTGGTCACAATGGCTCGGGCCTGACTCCGTGTTAGCTGGAACTGTCGAATCAAACCTGGCACATTCTGATGGTAATGCTGGTGACTCAGCTTTGCCTGTTGGAAAACATCAGGGAGACGTGCTTTTTCGACTGGTGCAGCAAGGAAGTCTGCTTGGCAATTCCCCTCTGCAATCTCACCTGGTAAATCAGTGTGTGACCTCACATGCATCACAAAGAATGGATGCTCTCGGTGAGAAATTAAATAAATCAGCCTTGAGAGCAACCTGAAGAGATGTTCATTTTCTATTTCTTTGAGCACAGCCTGCTCTGCCCTGGACACTACTCCTGCCACATAGGCAGAGTCTGTCACCAAGTTGAATGGCTCAGAAAACCTCTCAAAGCTCTTACCACTGCAGCTAGTTCAGCCACCTGGGGGGATCCCTCCACAAGCTCAACATCAGCTTCCCAGTGCTGAGTCTGTGGATTTCTCCAAGTCATCACCAACTTGTAGGAAGCCCCCGATGCGTCCATGAACACTGTGAGAGCCTTGAGTGCCCTCCAGCTCCTTTTCTCTTGAGGAATAAGGTGGAATTCCTCACTGAACAACTTGTAAGACAGGGCATGGACTGATATTTGTCCCCTATAGCTGTCCAGGGATAGCTGGAGACTGGCACTGCTCTGGAGCAAATGCTCAAACATCCCTTTGGTCAGTCTCTCAGGAGAGTTCCTTCCCTCCTCAGAAAGCCTGACTGGAAGGTGGATACTGCAAAGTCACACCCTGCTAATTCGCACAACCTCACCCTGGCCTTCTAAATCAGCTTTGCTATCAGTTCTTGTGGCCTAGTGATGGTTTTGGGTCTTTGGAGTGATAGGAAAACCCATTCTATGATTAAGAGTGGATGTTTCTGCCCCTCGATCCATTGGAAAACCAACCCATGCAGGTGTGGCAGCTTTCCTAGAACAATGAACTGGAAAGGCACATTTGGGTCACACCGATGTGCCTGCCTTTCTGACAAGGCCTTCTGTACCTTTTCGATTGCTGTCTTTGCCTCTGGGGTCATTTCCCTGGGGGAAGCCAGCTCCCTCTCCCCCTTCAATAAATTGAAGAGAGTTTCTAGGTCCTCATTTGAGAGGCCTAGCAAGGGTCTTACCCAGTTTAAAGACCCACACAGTGATTGGAGGTCTGCTAGTGTTCTGGGGTTGCAATTGATCTCCAGTTTCTGTGGGACAATAGTCCTTGCAGAAATTTCCAGGCCCAGGTATCTCCAAGATGGCATCCTTTGAACTTTGTTTCTCTGCAGTTGAAATCCAGCAGAGGTTAAAACTTCAATGACTAGGTCAAGCGTGTATTGGATATAGCATCATTGGGAGCACACACAAGCACATCATCTATGTCGTGAAGGATGATGGCATCCTTTCTCTCTGCATGTACTGGAGACAGCAGTGCTGCTACATAATGTTGGCATATGAAAGGACTGGATTTTAGACCTTGGGGCAAAACTTTCCAGTGATAGCGTTTCACTGGGGCTTCCTGATTGATGGTAGGAACTGAGAATGCAAACCTCAGGGCATCTTCAGGGTGCAATGGAATTTGGAAGAAACAGTCCTTTATATCTAATACAGCTAATTTCCAATCCTGGGGAAGCATAGCTGGACTAGGCATTCCCGGTTGGAGAGGTCCCATGTCCTCTTCAATTTTGTTTATTTTTCTGAGATCGTGGAGCAATCTCCACTTGTCCTTCCCAGGCTTCTGTATTACAAAGACTGGGAAATTCCAAGGGCTGTCTGTTTCTTGCAGGTGTGCTTGAGCTAACTGCTCCTTCACAAGTTTCTCAAGTGCCTCGAGTTTCTCACTACTCAAAGGCCACTGTGTTACCCACTTTGGGGTGTTATCCAACCACTTTAACATGTGGGCAGGGCGTTCCACAGTGGCTACTTCCAAAAATCCTGGGGTGTCTTAGGAATGATTAACTGGACTCCCCAGTGGGACATGGTGTCTCTCTCCCACAGAGGAGCTTTATAGTCTGCCACAAATGGGAGAACACTTGCCAATTTCCCATCAGGTCCCTCAATTTGCACTAAATTTTTTGAAATTTTTGCCAGTGTAGTTCCTCCTATACCCTGAAGTTTGCCTGCCACAGGTTGCAATTCCCAGTGTGATGGCCACATGGTTTTAGGTATCACTGTGATGTCTGCACTTGTGCCCAGAGCCCCTTCCACCTGAAGGTGCTCTGACTCATGTGCTAGGTTGCATGCCATCGAGGGTCTATCCTCTCCTACTACCTCTGCCCAGTAGACTTCTGGTGATTTTCCTTCTACTGTTATTTCTACTGGGATGGGAATGGCTTGTGTCAGAATTTGCCCCTTTTCTAGATGAAATGGAGGGTGTAGACAGCGTACCAACAGCATAAGACTGGATATTCTTTCCTTAGTGGTCATGGGAACTATTTCTCTGGAGGTGTGTATGCTGTGTCCCCAATAGCAAAATATTCACTGTCCAGTTACATATCATACGCCTGCAGGTCTTGTTAGCTGTTTGACAGGTCCACTATAATTACTTTCCAATCAGTGGTTCTGAAATTAAATCCTTTGGCAGTCACTAGGCGAGGTCCGCCTAATGGCTGCCAAACCTTGTTAGTTATACATTTTACATTTTTATTTTTCTCTCCCCCCCTCCACCATGATTCCCACCCTCCCCCTTATTTGTTAAGAGAGAGGCATTGTCTCGTGTGGGTCCTGCTATATTTATATCTTTGCACGCAGTTGTTTTAGCAGCAGGCACGCACTGTACACCCAGTTTTTTTGTTTGTTGATCTGTCTCTGGTTCTGGTTTTGAGGACAGTTTCTGGCAAAGTGTCCTGGTTTCTTGCAATGCAGGCAGATGATGTGCTGCAGCTGTTTTGATGGCATTGGTTGCCTCCTTGGACTTGGTGCAGCAGTGGCAACAGGCTGTAGTTCTGCAGATGTTGTATGACTGTCAGGGGTATCGAGCAGCTCTGCTCTTCTGTCGCAGCCATCAATCATCTGAACGAGACTAGGTGCTGGGCGAGAGGAAGACTGAGAATAATCCTACGACAGGTCTCATTTGCATTCCTCTTAGCCATTTCTTTAATCAGCTCTGTTTGTACTCTAGTGTCTTGCACATGTTTTTCAACTTGGGTTCTCAAACGATCCACAAACTGTAAAAAACTCTCAGAAGGAAACTGTTTAATGTTAATATAGCTACCCTTAGCCTCAGTTACTGGTAATTGAAAAAATGTTTTTTCTGCAGCATTACAGATTTTTTCCAAAACCAATCTAGGTAACAGTCTGGTTTGTTTTTCTGGGCATTGTATGTCTCCTGTACCACATAAATGATGCATTGGATTAGGATTGCCATCACTGTCAATGGCTTCACTGGGTGTATGCTGTATTTCTTGTAAAACTACTGTCAAAGCTATTTTCCACTTATTTTCCCATATCTCATATTCAGAAGGAGTTAGTAAACATTTAAATAAATCAGTGATATCTTTAGGTACCATTTCATTTGAATTAAACGTTGCCCTTTTAATCCCTTTAGAAATCTCACTGGACCTCCCAAATTCTCTCTGTATTTTACAGATCTCTGTTTTGTCTCCATATGGTAGTGGTTGGTATGTTCTGTTACGGTTTCTCCTTCTTAAATAAACAAACTGGTGCTACGGATGGTATAGATTCCTCAGCAGAGGCATGGTCTTGTCCCCTCACTACCCCCTGGGTCCCGGTGAGAGGCAGCTGGCACTCCCCTTCCCAGGCTGTCTGTGCCGCGGTGCAAACACCGGCCCCGCCCATGCTATGAGTTTCTGGGCTGCTCTGACTTCCCCCCGCCCCATCCTCAGTGCCGGGGCTGGGAGCTGTGCAGGGGCCGGCCCCACCCCCGTTCCCGGGGCAACGCGGGGGCTGGCTGTGATAAGGAGGGTGTGGAGGGGCTGTGGGAGATCGGAAGGGATTGGAGGAGGGGCAGGTGGGTGCGGGAAGGAAAGGATTGTGGGAGGGAGGGGGAGGGGTTCGGAGCACATGGTCGCCGCCATTATACCGCCGCGTGGGTTTCAGAGGCACTGCAGTGCTCTCTGAAAAGAACTCCGGACTATATTTCTCAGAAGAACCAGGTGTTAGAAGAGGATACAGGGTGAGTGAAGGGGTATCAGGGCTGGGATATTGAGGAGGGGGGTAGATGGGGGAAAAGGGATTATTCAGACTGTGATTCTGTGTTTGTATGCTTTTTTCTGCTTCCAAAATATTTTTTCGGGCTTGTAAAAATATCAGAATAAATCAAGACGCTTTATGTTCACCATTTTCGATTTTTAAAGTTATAGCTGTCCAATTTGGTCCCAAAAAGAAAGCTAATTCAGTTCTTGCACATTAAAATTAGGTATTTCTGCTATTAGCCAGCATACGAAATGCAGGAGGAGCTTATTTGAGAACGTTACATTGTTTAAAATATTGCTAAGTTGTTTTCAGTGTGCTCTTTTGTTCCATCGATACTTTTGCACCCATTATTTTAATCATATCACTGGTCTATTCTCCACCAGACTTTGTAACACAGCACGAATTTTTTGAATTCCCGCCGTATCACAGGATCCAAGTGGCGGGGGTGGGGGGGCGGGGGGGGTGGGGGGAAGGGCGCTCCCGCCACTCCGGAGCGGCTCCTGCCCTAACTCTGGGACAGGGGGCTTCTCCTGCCACTGTGCCAGAGCTGCTGTTGGCTCCCTCCCGTCACTCCTCCCCCAGGGAACGCAAGTACTCTCAGCCTGCCAGTTCCAAGCTGGCTTGTGCAGGGTTCCTGGCTCACCCTCACGCAAGCAGCTCCCCACAGTGCTTATGGTAGCTCCTCCCAGCCACACGCGATCCCGGGGTGACGCGAATGAAGGACTTACCAAGCCTATGAACTGCAGGGTTCATTTGTGAACTTGTCTGGGGTCCGTCTCCAGCCAGCTCGCCTGGGGTACTCAGGCAAGGTCCCCGACTTTTCCCTGTCACTCAAAGCCTGTAAAGGCAGCTAGAGTAATCGGGCAGTTGACTGTCCTAAAAGCTATCGAGATCCACTGAAATAGGGACTCCAGCTTCTGCGTGGGCTTATCGGCAGCACACGCTGGGGGCCAACTGTCGTTCTCCCCCCTCACACAGCCCCCCAAATAATCAGGCTAGCTCAGGGATCTGAGGCTGTGAAGGGAGGAATATCAGGAGTTGGCAAAGATTTCCAAAAGAGGCTCTTACCCCGAGATAAATTCGTTCAGCTCTCTTTATTCTGTGATGTCCTTGTGGAGAGCGGGGCAAAAGAGAACGAACAAGAAATGTCAGGGGTCTATATAGACTTTGGACAGGGTGGGCTTCCCTGGCTCTCTGCCAACCCTGTTGGGGCAGAAAGGAGGGTCCAGGGTTATCTTGATGAGAGTCACAGGGTCCCGGGGAAGGGGAAACAGAATCCCCATGAGCTCACTGTAACACCTCGTGACCCTTCCCCTTTGCCCAGAAGCTTCTGCCAGGGTCACTGGGTCACTGGGCCATGGCTTGGGGCCCCTCTACTACCCCCTCCTCAGTGGTCACTCTGAGGCCTTGCCCCTGGAGAGCCACTCCCATGTTCTCCTCCATTGGCTGCTTGAGTTTCCCCGCCCCCCCCTCCTCCCCCCCCATATCTGGCTGCTCTGGGCAGGGAGACCTTCTCTTGCTCTGGATGCCCTTCGGGTTTGGATGTATTCTGGGATCTCTCCCGAGGGCCTCATTAAACTTCGGAATTAATCCAGAGGAGAAGCGCCTCTTTCCTTTGCTTGTGGGACCAGCTCATCTTTGGACTCACGAGGGAGCTTCTCAAAGCCCCCCGGGATCCAAGGAGAAGCCCCTTTCTTCTGCCTGACTCGCCCCACTGTCCAGCTGGCCAGGGCCAACCAGGGATCTGTCCCCGTGGATTTTAGGGCGAGAACGGAGCAAGCTTTTACCCTGACTCTTTCAGAATCTAATTCCTTTGCTGCAAAAGAGGCAGAACAGCATCTCCTGAGGATCCTGTTAAAAACATTCAGTAATTTCCAAAGACTTATGTTTCCAAAGACTCTCAGTAGTTTCCAAAGACTTAGGTTTCCATACCTAGTTTCCAAAGCCATTACATGGCTTACTCATGCATGATATGCCCTCGTAGCCTCTTTACCATCCACTGAAGTTTATTTCATTACAAAAATGAATGGGATGAATGGTCTTTACTATATTTAATACTGGCAAATCTTCTGATGTGTATTCTTTTTAATATCATTAGGCCATGTAACTCTGCCACAACTTCCCAAATTGTGAAGTGTGCTGAGGTTTGGAAAGGATGGCAATGCTCCTTGTAGCGTCATTGATGACATTTATAGTACCTCCAGAGTACCAAGAGCTCTGTTTCAAAGCGCCTTTTCTTGGTTTTAAGGTCCACTGGCTTCTAGAGTTCAGATCTCATTATTTTTCATTGCTTTATTTTAAAAAGGCTGTAGAATGGTTGATTAAAAAAATAAATAAATCAGTAGGACAGAAGAACCATTTGAATACAATCAAAAATACAAACTAAATGTGATTTTTAATATTTATCCTGTGTTTTATTGCTATATGAAGATTACCTTCTTGTTGCTTATCAAAGTCACTGCATTAGACCATGGAGCATAAAAATTCTCAATGGAAAACCGCTAGGGAACAATCACTGGCAGAGTATTTTTGTACTGAAGTATACTCAGAAAAAAATATTAAAATTGGTGAACCCATACACGACAATTTGGATCCAGAGTTAGCTTTCCAAATATTTTTCTTCAGGTTCACTGTCAGTGAATAACTTTTAAGCAAAGATACACAAAAATTAACCAGCAAACAGCATTAATACTCTACAGATCTTTTTTTCACTGTTACATTTCAGGGCCCTTGATTCTGCAGGACAACATAGGTACCCAGAAGACTACAACATCTGGCAGGTCAAAGATATTTGTGAATGTGAAAAAAATTCTTCTTAAAAGTACAGACTACAAAACTTCCACTGGCCAGTTCCACAAACACTCAGCTAAATGAGGGCTGAAACACGGATGACATGATAAAAATTTATTTCATGAGCACCCTACACTCTTCCATGTACAACGTAAGCACTTATGCAATGAATAGGTGCAGAGGTGTTTTTACTTATGAGAACCCATGTAAAGGAGCCTCGTGTTTAAGACATTACCAGTTAAGATACCTTCTCCCTTTTTTGAAGTTTTTGCTCTGTTATCAGACGTATCATAGTTCTTGCACTTTGATTCCTTTTTCTGCATCACTCTGACTCAGAACACAAGTGAACCTGTCAATAATCTTTCTAGTTGACTGACCAGTCAATGGCAGCAATTTCACAAATTAATCTGTTTGATCAAGATACATAACATGAAGAAGTTACTTACAGAGCTTTGCAGGAGTGGGAGACTGACTTGGCCCAGATGTGTTATTCTTAAATTGGTAAGAGCAGAGTAACTTGGGTCAAGGAGGAAAATCATTGAACAATAAGTCATTGAAGTGCTTTGCTGAATCAGGTTTTAAGTGTGTACTCAGACACAGAAACTGTCCATCAGCTGAAGTTTGGGTAGAATAAAAAACTTTTCAAACTTTGTCAAATTCTTAACTGACATCCTGAACGGCCATTTACTGATTCAATGCTTCAGGCCTCATCTGCAAACTGCCATGTTCCCTACACTCCCACAAAAACATGCTTTATCAATGTTCAGAGGACTTGGGGTCAGGTTTTTCCCCTCAACAAAAGGTATCTGGCAATGGTATTAGCATTTTTTCTCTCTCAATAGTGTAGTTGTCAGTGCTGCTGAAAAATTGCATGTTTCTTTCTCATGACCTGTATGCAGTCAGTCTTCTGAACGTTCGGAAGACAGAAAAGCCCTGTCTCCCCACACCTGCCTGGGCTTAGCACTCCAGAGTGCACACAGCCACGGGTTTCTGAGACATTGCATCTGAACCCGGTCACTCTTCCACTGAGCCTCCTCAGCTCCACTCCCACCACCTTGTGCAGTCTGGCAGTACAAACTGATAGCATAGTACCTATTCCATGGAGATCATTTCAGATTTAATTGGGTGCATATGCAAGACTGAACCCACCTACCTCCCTGTACAAAACCAAAAAGTCTTGGATAGAACCATGCCAGAACCTGTAAAGGGAAACGATGCTGCTCGTTGAAATACTGTCTGTAAGGTGGAGCCCTCCAGAGGAGGGCTGTTCTTCTAACAAACTGTTTATCAAATCACTTCAGAAGCAATGGCTTTCTTGCACTATTTGTCCATGCATTTTCATGTTTACAACTCTTCTCTTTCACTTTTATAACTGGTACTAACACCTTCGAAGACTGTTGATGGAGAACTAACTTTATGCCACAGAAATAATTAGCTCAGCTTGTCTCAATAACCAAAAAAATGGCTTCAAGAAAAGGATGTGATTTTCTCTGAATATAACACAGAAAACAGTAGGGAAGGATAAGGACTATTTAACTAATGGATAATAATGCAAATTACTGTGACAGTCTCTTTCCAGACTTATGGAAAACCATCCCAATAGATCCTCATAATTCCTTCCCCTTTTGGAAGGATTTCTTTGTCAGCATGGTGTTACAAATTATCCTTTTATTTCTTTTTCTCAAATGGAAGATTCCAGTACTCTATGCGGCTTTGTAGTAGGTGGCCAATGCAGCAAATGGAATAACTGGAGAATTAAGAGAATTATTAATCTGAGTCATTCTGCAGATCAGATGTGTAGATCTTTTTAACCCATGAAAATTTGTAACACACTTAAATCACCAGTGCTTATTTTCCCACTGCTGTTGTGCCTCTGGGAAGCCATACTAGCCTTGTGCTTCTCACCAAAATTTTGGTATGACCGAGGCCAGGTGAGCTAGAGGGAAATAAACTCCAGAATAGCTCACTGGTAGAAGAAAACAGGTGTTTATGATGGCTCTCATTGCCCCCCTGCAGTATAGGATGGAGGTGAGTTTGCAGAGAGTCTAAATCAAGCTGGATTCCGTCTGCTGTGGTCCTAATTGTTCTCCTCTCCCTGGTGGTCAGTGGTGAAGTTTGCTCATTTGTCATTCTGCCAGGCCAGTTCCCCCTTTTCCTGTGTTAATCCAGGATATGCATCACATTCCTCCC